CCACCGCTGCGCCCCCCGAAGGGCCGGGGTGGAGGGGGGGAAAGGTTGGCTCGCCTGCCCTGAGCGGGAGCCGCCACGCATGACGAAGACCTCCTCGACCTCACCGTGCTCCGCAAAGATCTGCGACGCGGCGCCAGGCGGCCCGGGGGTGAGAAACGCGCCGCGCGGGCGTGGGAGAGGTGTCGCGTTGGACAGGTCTCGCTCCCGCCAGCCACGGTGCGGTGGCTTTGGAGCTGGTGTGCGGCGGCAGGGCGCGAGATTCACCTCCTTCAGGGTCTCCTCGTCAGTACCCGGAGGCGCACCTGTGGCGTGGGGACGCGGTGGGAGCCTTAATCCACGGAGCGTCCGACTTAGGCCCAGTCTCCCTCACGCTGCCGCCGCCCTTTTTGTGCGCGGCGTGCAGCAGACTCGAGGCAGCAGCCGTATGCCCATGCCGGCGGCCGTGTGGGGTGGGGATCTGTGGCAAGTGCGGCCACGCGCGGGCGGTGCAAGTGCGTGGGCGCTTGGTGAAAGAGACCAACCATGCACCAACTCTAGCCGGGAGATAGGCTGACGCCGGCCTCTGTGGCCGCAAGGCTAGTCTACGCGAGCTGGGGCGCGCACCCCCGATGAAGAGCTTGTTCTCCGGGTTGGGCGTCGCCACCAGCGCCATCCGCGGCCCGCCCCGCCGCTCCTCGGGGCACGGCCGGTCGTAGCGGGCTTGTGTCTGATGCTCTCTCTTGATGCAAATTCTGGCTTCGCCGAGAAAACTCGAACGGCGGAAAAGATAGTCAGACTGATATAGGGACGGCCGCGAGGTGGCATGAAGGTTGCAGCGAGAAGCGGCGAGAGACTGCGAAAAGAGATACGAAGAGGCAGACTCCCCAGGGTGGGCGACGGCTAGCGCACCACACTCCTCTCCTTAAAATCCCTACTGAGCCGTATGCCACGGCTAGCGCACCACACTCCTCTCCTTAAAATCCCCACACAACACCTACTAGACGTTCTCGTTTCTTAGATCTATGACGTAGCATCTCGACTGATTGGCTTTCGGTGATGGCTGCTGCCCCAAAGAGGGTTCGGCCCTCACTTCTGGTCGTCGGGTCGACGCTCAGCACGCGCAATCAGGCCAGCAACGCGCATTGTAACGACGTCACCAACGGCGTTGCGTCGATATACTGCTTGCAGGACGCGTCTGCCGGCACACTGAACGCCGCCACCGGACACGCTGGCGTGGTCACGGTAGACAATCGCTTCGCGAAGGACCCGCGGCAGACGGGCTTGTCAGCGGCAGACCCGACTGAGAGCGACGCAGTGGCCAACAAGCTGTCCAAGTTCTGCTGGGAATGGAAAGATTCTCCACAGGCTGGAAACTACGACGCGCCGCGTCGGCTCCTCCGACCCCAATGGCCTCTGCTCGCTGTGGCGGACGAGCAAATTAATCGGTTTGCTTGCCACTCACTCCGTGCGCGCTCCCAGCGCCGAGCCGCGGCTCCACGCGCCACCTGGGCTGCCTCTGGCACGGCCGGGGTCCGCCGAGAGGCTGGGCTTGGCCGGCGGCGCGACGCGTGGCCTGTGCTGCGGCCATCTCGGACGTTCAAGCGGCGCCAGCCAGCGGCTCGGCCGCGCATCCTTCAACGCCGCCACGACCGGGATGAGAGAGCCCGGTGTCGAGCCCTGGTGCGAGCTGCATGCGAGGGGCGGCTGTGGCCACAGCAGGTTCACCAGATGGACGTCAAAGCTGCCGTCGGCGTGCTGTCGTGGGGAGTGCCCGAGACCGCTGCAGAGGAGCCGAGTGCAGTGGCGAGCCAGGGGCGGCCTGGGTCACCAAGTGGTGGTCCTTGCCCATTCTGAGCAGGGCTGTGCTTTGGTGGGGTTGTGCTTGGTGGTGTGCAGCGAGGCGCCGCTGTCGCTGCCATCATGGGCTCCGATCCGGGTCTCGCGTGGATGGAAATCATCGGCTGCAACTACTTCCTCTGTGCGTATCTCACATTCTTACTGAAGCGTTTTCTTTCTATTGCATCATCGGCCGCTCTCTCTCTCTCTCTCTCTCTCTCTCTCTCTCTCTCTCTCTCTCTCTCTCTCCCTCCCTCTCCCTTCCTCCCTCCTTCCCTCCCTCCCTCCTCCCTTCCCATCTACGGCCGCTTCAGGGACGGACGATATCGTCCGTCCCTGAGGCAAAGTTGTTGGATAAAGAAGAAAAGAATCGCCACCGGAGATGCACGCCTGCACCGCATCGGCGGTCAGGCTGTTGTCCTCTCTACTAGGGCCCTTGAGCGCGTGCCTCCGGCAGCACCGACCCCACGGAGACGTCGGCCGGAAGCGCGCCCAGCACGCCTCGCACGTCAGCGCCCCTCGGCGGCAATCTTGATGCGCCCGGGCGCGGCCGCTGAGGTGCCTCCCGCGCCACGGCCCCGTACTCACCGCTTGCCACCACCGCCGCCCTCCGCCTCGCCGCCGCCGCCGCCGCCGCCCTGAGCGCCTCCACCTCGCCCTCTCCGCCGCCTCCCTCCGCCTTGGCGTCGCCGCCGCCTCCCTCCGCCTCGCCCTGGCCTCCGCCTCCCTCCGCCTCACCCTCGCCGCCGCTTCCCTCCGCCTCGCCCTCGCCGCCGCCGCCGTCCGCCTCGCCCTCGCCGCCGCCGCCGTCCGTCTCGCCCTCGCCGCCGCCGCCGTCCGTCTCGCCTCGCCGCCGCCCCTGTCGGCCTCGCCCTCGCCGCCGCCTCCCTCCGCCGCGCCCTCCACCCTCGCCGCCGTGGCCCTCCGCCTCGCCGTCACCGCCGCCGCCCTCCGCCTCGCCCTTGCCGCCAGCGTTGCGGCGGCCTGCCTCGCCACACACATCCGGGCGCGCGCAACAGCTATGGCCCTCTCCTCTCCGGCAAGCAAAAGTCGGCCCTGCTCAAGCAGAAGCGCGCGGAGCAGCAGCAGCGGTCCGCGTCCAACGCCCGCGCAGGCGGAAGCGCCGACGCCGCCGCGCCGGCGGCCGGCGAGGCGGCTGAGAGTCAAATGGTGCAGCGGGTCTCTCGCGGCGGCGACACGAACCGGCTGTCGACCGCCTTCGTGCGCGAGGACGACCAGGCCGTGCAGGGGCGCCGGCTGCGCGGCGCCGAGCCCTTTGGCTGCGCGGCGGCCGCGGCGGCGCCTCTCGCGTTTGAGCCAGCCGGCGAGAGCCTGGGGCTTCCCACGCGGGCGCGCGTCGAGGGCGCGAGCGCGGCACCTCAGGAGGTTGCCGAGCGGACCGCCTTTGAGGCGTGGCTCGCGTCTGTCCACGGCGGCTGCCGCGCCGACGCACTCTCGCCCTTTGAGCACAACTTGGAGGTGTGGCGCCAGCTGTGGCGCGTCGTCGAGCGGAGCGACGTCGTCTGCATCGTGGCCGACGTGCGGAACCCGCTGCTGCACGTGCCCGCCGCGCTGTACGAGCATTGCGCCGCGCGGCCCTCGCTGCGCCTCGTCATCGTCCTCTCAAAGGTCCGGCCTCGTCTCGCAGCGTGGCGGCTGAGCAGCCGCGTCTCTTTACGCCTCCGCGCGTGAACAGGTCGACCTCGTCTCGCGCAAAGCGCTGGAGCGGTGGCGTGAGGCGCTGTCCCGCCGCTTCCCGCGCGGCGCGGCTCGCCACCTTCTCCTCCAAGGGAAGGGAGGTCGGCGGCTCGCTAGGCGGAGGCGTCGCCTCGCGCCGAAAGGCGCTCGGCGCGCCGCGGGGCGACGCACGGTGCGCGAGTACGTCGAGGGCGTCGCAGAGGCGCGCGGCGTCGTCCTGCCGCCGCCCGACGGCGAGGCGGAGGGCGCAGGCCGGCGTGCGGCCGGCGCGGCGGCCGGCGGGGAGGGCGGGGAGGAGGAGGAGGAGGAGGCCCCGAGGCGCGGGCGGAAGAGCCTTCTGGAGAGGGCGAGGAGGGCGGGGAGGAAGCCGAGGAGGGTGAAGGGGGGGGCGAGGAGGCCGAGGAGACGGCGGCGGTGGCAGCGGGCGGCGGCGCGTGCGAGCGCGATACAGTCACCGTCGGCTTCGTGGGCCATCCAAACGTGGGCAAGACGTCCCTGCTCAACGCGTTGGTGGGCCGCAAGGTTGCATCGGTCTCGCGCACGCCGGGCCACACGAAGCACCTCCAGACGTGGGAGCTGACGCCTCACCTGACCATCTGCGCTTCGCCCGGCCTCGTCTTCCCCGTCGCCGGAGTGCGCGTGCACGGTGTGGTACGAGTGCTGCAGCTCTTTCCGATTGCGCAGGTGCGCGAGGCCCTCTCGGCGGTGCGGCTGCTCTGGCTTGCGCTCGACTTGCCGCGCATGTACAACATGCGCCCCGCAGAGCCCTGCGACGACGAGGACGAGCTCTCGCCCTTCGGCTTCTGCGCCGCGCTCGCCAAGCGGAAGGGCTACCACCGCCGCTACCGCCGTCCGTCTCGCCGTCGCTGCCGCCGCCCTACGCCTCGCCCTCGCCGCTATCGCCGTCCGTCTCGCCGTCGCTGCCGCCGCCCTACGCCTCGCCTTCGCCGCCCGCCGCCCTTCCGCCTCGCCGCCGTTGCCGTCGGCTTTGCCCTAACCGCCGCCGCCGTTGACGTCGCCGCCGCCGCCACCGCCATCGACCTCGCAGTCACCGCCGCCTTCCTCCGTCTCGCCCTCGCCTCTGCCTCCCTCCGGCGGCGGCGGCGCGGCGGCGGCGCGCGCGCTGGTCGGCGCGAGCGGGAAGGGGACTCAGCTCTCGCCGCAGCAGCGCGTCTCTCTCGACGAGGCGCTCGCTTCCCTCGCCGCGCCGCCAGGCGGCGCGGCAGACGCTGCCGGCGCGGCAGAGGCGAAGGGCGGCCGATGCGGTGGCGAGCTACATGCTCCCTCTGGCGGCGGCGGCTGCCCGTGCGGGCTGCGTCCCGTGCGAGGGGTCCCACATCGAGGTCCCGATGAAACGCGAAGACCAAACGCGGCGGTCGGCGGGCAGTCTCGTCGGTGAACGCATCTTGACGAAGGAGCGTTGACGCATGTTTCAGAGGAATGTTGTTGCCGCATGTTGGGCTTAACTTGTTGCATGTTGCAAGGGCATGTTGTCAAACTAATTGCGGGGAATGAAGGTGCGTTATCTAAGTGTGATGTCCATGTTTTGCCACGAAATCGGGGGATGCATGTTGCTATGTTGCTTGATCGTCGTTGTGCAATATGCACACAGATCGAGATTGTCGCCACCCAGGCCAGCCGGGGCAGGGGCGGAGGGCGAGGGCGGAGGGCGGAGGGCGAGGGCGGAGGGCGGGATGGGCGCCAAGCGGGAGGGAGCGGTAGAACAGTGTGAGGGGTGAGGGAAGGATTCCTGCACCTTGCCAGTAGGGTGTTCGATGAGGCGGGAGCGCACAGGCATGGAGCGATGGAGCGCGCCCAGCGATGTGCCGGCTGGATTACGCGCGCTAGTTTCGGCTCACATGCCCTCCACTCTCGACGAGGTCGAAGTGGCGCTCGCGGCGGCCAGACTGGGGCCCCACCCCAGTCTCGGCGAGTACGATCTGCAGGAGCTCGAGATGGCGATCGCGCTTTTGGGCCCGCCAGAGCCGTTTCGCGAACCCGTTCCGCGCACCGGGCCAGCCGAGGCGCGCCTCCAAGCCTTGGAGTCATGACCGTTGCGGCTCGGCAGACTCGAGTCTAGATCCCATAGCACACAAACAACGCACACCACCACCGGCACTCAACCCCTCTCTCAGACCCGGGAGCATGCTTCGATTGGGCTCCCGCCGATCCCGCCATACACACTCTCTGCACTTGTGGCGCCAGCACCCCGTTCTCCACTCGCCCTCGTAGGTGCCGCCCGGCTTTGGTCCTCGCCCCGTGCTGGTGCCCGGCTTTGCTCTTTGCCGTCGCCCGCAGTCGGTGCCGCCTGCTCCGGTGCCAGCGGTGCTCCTGGGCGGGGGCACGACCCAAGGCGGCGTGATCGGGGCGACGCAGATCAGCCTTGACCCTTGCGACCTGCCCCGAGAGCGGTGCGTTGCGCCCGGAGGATGCTTGTCTGGCAAGCTGCACAGCACGTTGCAGGCGCAGGCTGCCCGCCCCCTTTGTGAGCACACACGGCCTCCGACCCGTCTCTAGACACCGCCCCGGCCGCTCGGCCCTGAATTGCCCGCCCCCGGTGAATTGCCCGTCCCCGAGTGTCTGCAGGCGGTGGGGCCGTGCCCATCGGGTGGGGGATGTGCCTCGACCAGGTCAGATGCCTTCCGCTCCCGCTCCTCCCCGCCACCATCCTCCGCGCGGCCCCTTCCCTGTCGCAATCTTCTTTAATTCCCCGGGGGG